CGACGGTGTGCTGCTGGGCGCTGGCTGGAAGAAGAGCCAGGTCGACGAGGCGCTCTACTTCAAGACCGGCGATGACGGTGTGAGCTGCTGGGTCTTGGTCTACGTCGACGACCTGCTCGCCGCTAGCAGCAGCACCGCGATGCTGAAGGAGCTGAAGGAGCTGCTGGAGGCCGCCTTCAAGCTGCGTGAGATCTCGCCGGTGGAGAAGTACCTTGGGCTGGAGATCGTGCGCGACAGGCCGGCCAGGAAGTAGTGGCTGCACCAGCAGGGCTATGCCGACAAGCTGCGCAGGCGCTTCGTCGACGAGGAGCAGGGCGGTCGAGTCCCGAAGACGCCGGTCTCGGTCGACGCCTACGCTCAGCTGACGTTCAACGACGAGGAGGCTCAGGAGCGCGAAGAGGAGGAGTACCGGTAGAAGGTCGGCTCGCTACAGTTCGCGGCGACGACAACGAGGCCGGACATTGCGTTCGCCTGCAGCAAGCTGGGGAGCGGCCTCACGGTGAGGAGCGACCAGCATTGGCGTGAGCTTGACCGTTGCCTCGCCTTTCTCGCCAACACCCGCGACACCGCCCTGGAGTTCGGCGGTGGACCAAAATCGTTGGAGCTGATCGGCTACGTCGATGCCGACGACGCGGGCGACAAGCAGAACCGGACGAGCACGGGAGGCTACGTGTTCGTCTACGGAGGGGCCGCCGTCTCCTGGTCGAGCTCGCGCATCAAGTGCGCGACATTATCATCGACCGAGTCGGAGTACGTGGCGGCCACGGATGCCGGCAAGGAGGGGCGTCGACTTCGCTTCCTCCTTGCGGAATTCAAGCTGCTCGACGCTGGGAATCCGACCATCCTCCGCGTCGACAACAAGTCGGCAATCACTGTCGCTGAGGGCTTGGGGCTGACGGGCAACCTCAAGCATATGGAGCGACGCTACGCGTGGCTGCAGCACATGGTGAGGCGCGGGAAATTTGTGCTGAACTACATCCCGACCACCGAGCAGCCGGCGGATTTCCTGACAAAGGCGCTGCATTTTCCGGCTTTCAACCGGTGCTCTGTCGCCATCAGCCAAGTTCGTCTGGTCGACGTCGGCGACGGCGACGACGAGGTGCAGAAGTAGGTGCCGTGCCCTTCTGCACGGCTGGTGCGGTGACGGCGTGCTGTGTGTGGTGTGCACGCCGAGGACGAGTTCTCTCCGTGGAGTACTGCCGTGAGGGCTGGAGGCCCAAGCGTGAGCGCGGCAGGGGAGTGTTAACGGGAATGGAGTGTTGGCCCCGCCCTCGCTTGGGCAACGGCGACAACTTGGTCGGATGTACGGGAGTAGCAGCCGACCGCCCACAGTGGGATAGCTGCTCGACAGGTTACGTCGAGCTGCAGCGGACCGCTGTGGTGTTGCTGTCGACCAGGATGCTTGACAGCTGCACCTGACTGGCCTGGGCGACGGGTGAGCCGTCCGGGAGGTCGACGAAGCATTCCGTCGACCTACAGTTCGACGGGGAGGTCTATGGAGCATCCCGTTGAACTGCAGCTCGACCGGGAGGTCAACGGAGCATCCCGTCGAACTGCAGTTCGACCGGGAGGTCGACGGAGCAGTTTTGGTCGACGGAAGGGGTCCGTCGACCAAGGGGTAGCTTGACGGGAGGTGTGGTCGACCAGGAGCATCCAGTAGTCGACCAGAAGGACCCAGTGGTCGACGGGAGGCACCTGGGAGTCGACCAGAGCACCAGGGGTCGACCAGGTCGACCGGGTAACCTGCTCGACGAGTTCTGCGGAGGCACGCGAACGTCGTCAAGATCGCGATGGCGCAGGCGACTTCGGGCTGGTATCCCGAAGTCGATGTGGCTCGTCAGGCGCAGACAACAGCCGACGGATGCCCAACGAGGCAAGTCGGGCCAATCGTCTGCGCACACCTGCGAGCGCGCGCACTGCTGTGTTCTACGGGGCACGCCGTCGACCTGCTTTGTTGGCAGGTCGCCCTTCTGCAATGCTGGCGCGGCTCCTCTACGCAATGCTGGCAGGCGGTCGACCGAGCTGCGTTGGCGGTCGACCAGGCTAGCTGCAGGGTTGCTAGGTGCCTGATGTAGTCATTGTTGTCATTGATGCTTGTATCAATTCTGGAATTCCAACTTTGCTAATAGAAACTCTTGCCAAATTCTTCCATGAATGTGCAAGCTCTAAGGAACCAAGCAAAGCTAAGATCACCTCTAGTAGTTCGTGCCAACCCTTGTAGTCTAGCTCACTACCATTGTAGAGTTAATCTCCACAGCGATCACGTCAGTAGCGGCAGTGGCGAGGGAGGCAATGAAGGTGGGCAGCTAAGGGACAGCGCACGCGTGGAACAGTGGGGGGGCTCAGCACTAGAGGCAGAGGCTACCGAGCGCAGGTTGCTCTCGACGTCCATAGGGTAGACTCAAGGACCTCGATAGTGAGCTCGCTAGGGTGCTTCAGAAGAAGCGCGTCGCGAACCGAGGCAAGGCGGTCAGGGAGGCTAGTGGTGATGAAATAGTTAGTAAGCGCCATGGGGGGGTCATGCAAGCTGTGCGTCATTGCAGGCAGCCCGGTAGCTAGAATCCAGTGAACGCTGGTGAGCGATCAAGACAGCTGAGTGCTCAAACGAGGCAAGCTCAGGAAACAGGAAGAGGAAGAACAGGCGACCAAGAGAGACAATGGTGGGAGTAGCGTAACGAGCTTTGATCGCAGTTAGGAATTCACTTGCCGTGCGAACCTGGGTGAAGTGGGTCTCATCAGACTCAGGGAGGAGGCTGCTGAGGGCGATGATAAGACACGAGGAATGATTGCATTGAGCAACATCAGGAGTACAAGTATGAAACCCATAAGTGTTGTACCCCATATAAACTACCCCACTACAACCTACACAGACTATAGCATATAAGCCTGACACACCCCCATAGGCAAAGTGGGGGAGAACAAGGGGTCACAAGACCAGTCAAGCAAAGCCAAGCAAGCTCAGGGTGGATCACAAGGTCACTACACAGTCCGAGCACAAGAGCAAGGCCTCAAGGCCAGTTCACATGCAAGATCATATATAAAGGTAAACAAGCAAGTACACGTATAGAAAGATTGCAGTACAAACAAGATCAAGAAGTGAGCAAGTGAGGCCAAGTAGGCACAAGACCTAGCATCGTACAGAAGCACTGATGATCACAAGGCGGAAGTGCCTTGGTAAAGATATCAGCAGTGTTGGCCTCAGAGGCCACGTAGGTAAGGCGTAGCTGACCACGCTGCTGCAGCTCACGAGCCAGGAAGTAGCGAAGAGCAATGTGCTTCGTTCTGTGCTCCAATCTGTGCTCCCGACACAAGGCCAGCATGGCCTTGTTGTCTACGTACAGAACTGGAGGAGAACGAGGCGGCTCTCCTAGGTCAGTCAGCACGTAGGTGAACCAGCGTAGCTCCTATGCAGCCATGGCCCCCGCGTAGATCTCAGCCTCACAACTGGAGCCGAGAATAGAAGACGAGCGGGTAGACCGCCACAAAACAGAGCCGGAACCAAGGCTGAAGGTGTAACCCTGTGACGACCGCTGCGTAGGCTGGTTGTCAGCCCAAGAAGCGTCTGCGTGACCTGTGAGGACCACTCGACGTCGCCCTCGAAGCACTAGCCCCATGCCCGACGTACTGCACAAGTAGCGCAACACCCTCTTAGCTGCAACCATGTGCTCTGGTCGGTGTCTCCCAGGAGCAACATAGCGTGCCAAGATGCTAAGAGGGTATGCAAGGTCAGGTCATGTGCAAGTTATCAAGTACATGAGGCAGCCAACAAGCTTTGGGTACGGGCCACTCGACTCTACGGACTCATCCGAAGGCAGAGCTGAGAGCGAGTGGCGAGTAGACAGAGGAGTGGCCTGAGGCGAGGAGTACGTGAAGTCGAAGCGCTGAAGGACCTGCTGCACCATGTGTGACTGAGTCAGGGTAATGGTGCGTTGTGCTCTGTCCCGGGTGATCTGCAAGCCAAGGTAGCTGTGAAGTTCACCCACGTCTGTGCACGTGTGTCTCTTCTGCAGCTCGGACTTCACGTGGGCGAGTCCAGCAGTGTCAGCAGTGGCAAAGACCAAGTCGTCGAGGTACACAAGGATGTAGAACGGTATCAAAGAGGTGTTGGTGCGCAGGAACAGGGATGGGTCGGCAGTAGAAGGAGCAAACCCAAGAGCCGCAAGTGTAATCCTCAGTGTGTCGTGCCACTCACGGGGCGCATGGCGGAGACCGTAGACTGGCCGCTGGAGGCTCCACTGGGTACCAGGAGGAAACGACCCAGTAAAGCCACGTGGGCATCGAAGCCAAGTGGGCGACGCAGCCAGATCTCCTCGTGCAGGCTGCCCTGCAGGAAAGCTGTGCTGAAGTCAAAAGAGTGAAGCTCATAGTCACGCTGAGCGGCTATGTGCAGCAGCACCCAAAGAGTGGTCATCTTTGGGGTGGGAGAGAAGATTTGAAAGTAGTCAACTCCCTGCCGCTGACTGAAGCCACGAGCCACGTAACACGCCTTGAAGACAGGCGGAGAACCCGGCGACCGCCTCACCCTGAAAATCCACATGCCACTGTCGATCTTCGCCCCAGGTGGGGGAACCTCGTCGACGTAGGTGCCTGTGGACTTCCAGGAAGCCATCTCTGCGTCCATGGCTGACTGCCACTAAGAGGAGTAGGGACCCTCGATCGCCTCAATGTACGATCGAGGAGTCGGGATGTCTGGTGCATCCGGATCTCCCTCAGGGGCAATCAGCGTGGATACGAGATGAGGCAAAGTAGCAGCAAAACACTGGAACTCCTCCTGCCTGTCCTCAAGGACGTCTGTGCTAAGAGCACACTCACCCCCGACGGACGGTGGACAGACAGACTCAAACTCAGCAACAAGACTAGTGGCGTAGTGTAGGCGACAGTGAGCACCAGAGTTGAAAAGCGCAGCAACTAGGGCAGACGCAGCAGTAGACTCAAAGGAAGGGTCAGTGACAACAGTCGCGCGGAGACGCGTGAGAGTAGGACTGGCAGCACGAAGAGTGTCAGACTCTGGGTCAGCAAAAACAGGAAGAGAGGACTCTTGAGGAGAGGACAACGGGACACGCAGAGGAGCAGTGGAGGGACGTAGTGCCATCTGGTGTGTGCCTGGAACCACAGGAGGACGGGGACGCGGAGCATGACGACTGGTGCGAGCAGCATGAACAGGCGACGCAGGACGAGACGCAGGCTCACGACACTCAGCAAGACCTCCAGTAGGACCAGTGTAGGGAGAAAGAGCAGGCAGAGGGGAAGCAGGCTGTGGACACTCTGAGGGAGGAGCAGGACCAGAAGAGGGCGGGAGACCAAGAAATTGCTCAAGAAGGGGAAATAATAACGGCCTCGGCCGCACAGCACCTCCAGAACCAGCAAGGACAGCACCAGTACCCCCAGCGGCAGTACCAGCGCCAGTAGCACCTCGAGCTCCAACAGCGCCAACTCCAGCACACTCAGAAACACCAGCGCTAGGACCAGTACCCCCACAGCGCTGAAGCGCAACGTACCACTCACGCAGCTGCTGAGGGGACATGGTCTCACGACTGCGCTGCTCCTGCTGGCGCGGACCACCACCGGACCCACTCCTCTGCGTAGAGCCGCAACCAAGTCCACCGCTGCTGCCGCCGCCTCCGCCACCTCCGCCACCTCCACCACCTCCGCCGCCTCCGCTCCCTCCGCCACCGCCGCCGCCTCCACCGCCTCCACTGCTGGCACCAACACCTCCACCCGTGCCACCACTCCCACCACCACCCCCACCCCCTCCACTGCTTCCACCACCACCTCCACCTCCCTGAAAAAATTAGAAGAAAGAAAGAGGAGTGAACTAGCAGGAATGAGGATACAAATAGCAAAACCCTAGAAGGGTTGTACTCGCTATAGAGCACCCCACTACAGGCTAGAGCATAAGATAATATTCTGACACTCCCCTGCCAGCCCCTCCAGCCCCCTTGCCCCCCTTGCCCTTGCCGGTGCGGCGTCTCCCACGGGGGCAGACGCAGCGCCGACCGACTCGAAACCAACGAGGTCGGCCGCAGTAGCAGAAGCAACAGAGGGCAAGAGGGGGAAGGGGGAACACCCCTCAAAGACGGGGGTGCGAGGGTCACCACGAGAGGCTCCTACAGCAACTATGCTTTTCTCTGCTGCTAGGAGGCGCTCCTCGAGGAGGTCAACGGTGAGTGTGGTGGGGCAAACTGAGAGGAAGTGGTCCCTGACTAAGCGAATGGAGTCAGGGAGGCGGGTGACTATGTAGTAGAGGGTGATGTACATGGGGGGGATTCTTGGGACAGAACTCAACAGGAAGCGCAGCGCGGTAGCGAATGTCGCTAGTGCGAAGGTGCGTAATGAGGTCAGCGATTGTGGGAAAGGCAGCAAGGTCAGGGAACAGGTACGGCAGCATGAGGCGGCTAAGCGCAGTAGTGGCAGGGGAGGAGTAGCGTGCAAGTACAGCGTCGTACAAGGTCTTAGCACTCTTGTACTGGCTAAAGTGCGCACGCTCAATGGTCGGTAAGTGGCGACGCACAGCAAGGCGAGCAGCAGCATCGCGTGTGGCCCACTGTGAGCGAACAGTGCTGTCAGAAGTAGTAGGCGGGGCAGGAGAGACACCAAAGGTGAGATCGTACAGAGAGAGTCCGTCTGCCCTATTGCACTTTAGAAACAGCTGGAGGTCATCGACCCAGACCTCAAAGTCAATAGCACGGCCCTCAGCATCAAAGGTAAGGACACTGGGGGTAGCCATGACTGCAGTGGTGTAGTAGGGAGTGATCTCTCCAGTCCGAGTAAGTGGGGCCGGGGCGCGCCGGTAGGAACAGCAGCAGCTCGACAGTAGGGCGGCTCGGCAGCTCGGCTGCTGGGCGGCTCGGCTGCGGGGCGGCTCGGCTGCTGAGCGTCTCGGTTGTTGGGCGGCTCGGCTGCTGGGCGGCTCTGCTGCTAGGCGGCTCGGCGGCTCGGCTGCTGGGCGGCTCGGCTGCGGGGCGGCTCGACGGCTCGGCTGCTTGGTGGCTGGGTTGTTGGGCGGCTTGGGTGCTGGGCGGCTCGGCGGCTCGGTCGCTAGGTGGCTGAGCGGTGACGGGGCCGGTAGAGGCGGGGACGTGGCCGCTGGGGGAGGCGACGGGGCCGCTAAGGGTGGCGAGGCGGTTGCGAAGGGCGGCGACGGGGCCTCCAGGGGAGGGCGACGGGGCCACAGGTGACGGCGACGGGGCCGCAGGCGGCGAGGACGGGGCTGCAGGTGGCGGCGACGGGGCCGCAGGTGACGGCGACGGGGCCGCAGGTGGCGGCGACGGGGCCGCAGGTGGCGGCGACGGGGCTGCAGGTGGCGGCGACGGGGCCGCAGGTGGCGGCGACGGGGCCGCAGGGGGCGGCGACGGGGCCACAGGTGGCGGCGACGGGGCCGCAGAGGGGCCGCAGAGGGGCCGCAAGGGGCCTAGAAGGGGCGGCGACGGGGCCGTAAGGGCGGCGCAAGGGGCCGACGAGCGGCGCGAGGGGCCGTAAGGAGCCGTAAGGGCACCGGGAGGGGCCGTAAGGGGCCGTAAGGGCAGCGCGAGGGGCCGACGGGTGGCGCGAGGGGTCGTAAGGGCGGCGCAAGGGGCCGTGAGAGGAGCCGCTAAGGGTGACGCGAAGGGGCCGTGAGAGGGCGCGACGGTAGGGAGGGCATACAGGGCGCGACTCGGGCAGGAGCGAAGCGCGCTCCGGGCAGGAAAAAAAAAACGTGGTGGGCCCTAGGAAGTGTTCCCACTAGGGAACCTGCTCGATACCATGATAAGAAGCGAGGAATGATTGCACGGACGGACGCTTAGGGCGCTGGGGTACGAGAGGAACAGGATTCCACAGAATCCTAGCCTAGGTGACGGTACGGACGCTTAGGGCGCTGGGGTACGAGAGGAACAGGATTCCACAGAATCCTAGCCTAGGTGATAGCATGTCAAAAACCGAATGAATGATGGACTATTGTGGGTTGGGGTACATAAACCTAACCCTAACTGCTGTACCCCATATGACACGCATCACTAAGGGCTTCAACATTTGACGGTGCGCTCGATTAATGAGAAATGTAGGCGGATGGGGTAGTACGTGCGGCGGAATGTTCCTTCGTCGGAGTGCGTTGCGAGGACGAAGATTAGGGAGGCGATGCGTTCGCGCAAAGGGTAACGAGGTGCATTTCCCTAATATGAACGGTAGCGATATCGTTACGTTGTTGAAGTTCAAAATTTATATTTACTCACAATCTATTATGAAGCAAAAGAGATATGATTGAAGCGGGCCCGAAACGAAAATTTCAAATTTGAAATTTCTGAGAGAACACACAGCACGTGGCGCCACATCGGCCTTGCGGACGCAATCAAGGAGGATTTCCTCAAATGCATCATCTACGGTACATGGGAGTCAAGGGTTCTCGACTCGAACCTCATCGAGCACAAAGCCAATAAAAGTGAAAACACAAGAACTGGTTATCATTTCGCCTCATTTTGAGATTCAGTTACCAGCTCACTCACGCCCAGTTTTAGTCCGAACAGGAAATAATTACACACCCTAACAAACTTGGCACCACCTCCCCTACTCTCACACACAGCATGGAGTCAGAATGGCACATGTAGCAGCTCATGTGTCTTCCATTTCTGCTTGCAAGCACCTAACCTACATGCACTCCCTTCTCGTATGCAGCATCGCGATCATGCAGCTTATGTTTCTCATCGCGTAGAAACACTGCCTGTTCGAGATCTCTCTAAGTCTGCATAGGTAGCAAATTTCTGCCGTTTTTCTCTCGTCTTCTGTCCAAATTGACTCCCCCGCGCTATGCTGTCGTTATGATATCGCGACTCGCTGGTCACCGCCCGGTGACCGGCCGGCGCAGATCGACGGCTCCAGCGAAGGGGAGAGATGGAACGAATGCGCGGAACGCGAGCGCTGGGATTTCTGCGATAAATGCGACAAATGCGATAAATGCGACGGATGTCACGCATGGGCGGAACGGACAGGACGAAAACATGGATGAGGGTGAGGAGACGAACTTACTGGAGAACGTGAACGCAACGTCTGTGAGAGTAACGGGGGCGAGGAGCCACGACGACGAAACGAGCGAAATAGGGAAAGCGATGGCGGAATTGGAGGAGTGGATTGAAAAGAAGGTGGAGGCGATTTCCGCGCTGGCGTACGCGATTCGGACGGAATGGAAGAGCGGCGCGGCGCCGTCATCTCTGGGCACTAAGGCAGGGCCGCGCAAGCGAACTCGTGTGGCGGACGGGTCTTCCTCAGACCCGATGGTAATGGTGAGTGCGAGTCGCACATCTCTCAGATGTCACACACGCCTCCCGCATCTCGTGTGTCGTGCACGTCTCGCATGTGTCGCACGCGTCTCCCGTGTGTCGCGCATGTATCACATGGTCGCACATGTATCCCGTGTGTCGCGCATGTATCGCATGGTCGCACATGTCTCGCGAACCATAAACACGACAAGTGAGACAACGTGCTCCGAGTGGCACGGGAGGTACGACCTTGCCTCCAACGCCTCCGGAACATTACATGCATATCATTGCAGCGTAGTGGAGTGGACCCAACCTTCGGCAGCAGCATCTGGCACACCGGTCATCAGCCCATGCGAGACAAGGTTTCCACTGGGGAGATGGACGCATCATGCGCGTCATGGCCAGTAGGCCCCTTTGTCCCTGCTTCCCCTGCCCGTAGCAGCATCTGGCCGCGCTCTCAGCTGACGCGGGAGGCCATCCGATACAGGTTCTCAAGGGGATGCATGGAATTCACCAACCCTCCTTCCCTTCCCCCCACCTCCCCCTAACCCCTTTTCCTCCTTCCTTGTTCCCTGCTTCCCCTACGCGTAGCAGCATCTGTCCGGCCTGTCAGCCCATGCAGAGGCCATCCGCGACAAGGTTACACAACGGGGGGGGATGCACTGAACTTGTCCTCCTCCTGCTCCCCCTTTCCGCCTTTTTTCCCCTTGTCCCCTGCTTCCCCATCCTAGCAGCAGCATCTGGCGGCCCTGTCAGCCCACGCGAAAGCCATCCGCGAGAAGGTGCGCGGAGTGGGGAGATCAGTGCGCGGACTTGAGGGGCAGAAGGCGCAGGGGGGAAGAATGGAGGGTCAAGAGGAGCGGGGAGAAAACATTGAGAAGCCAAGTGGGGGGGAGGAAGAGAAGAGGGATCAGGATCAGGAGGAAAAGGAGGACGAGGGGGGTGAGGGGGAGAAGGAGGCGGAAGAGGAGGAGGAAGGGGAGGGGGAAGGGGGAATGAGGGACGAGGAGGAGGAAAAGACAATCGATCTGGTAGACGAGACAACGGAAGAAGGGGATGAAGAAAACTTGAAGAGGGACTCTACTGGAGAAGCGAGGGAGGAGATGGAGCAAGCTGTGGGAGAAGGGCGAGGGGAGGAGCCAGTGGAGGCAGGGGCAGGGCTGGGGGGAGAGGAGGGGTATGCGGCAGTGAGGGAGGGAGCGGCAGAGAGGGGAGGAGCGGCAGAGCGGGGAGGAGCGGCAGAGAGGGAAGGAGCGGCAGAGAGGGGAGGAGCGGCAGAGAATTGCGAAAATGAGGTCGAAGATGCAGAGGAGGACGCAATGGAGGAGGGAGTGGGAGATAATTATGACTTGGTTGAGGTGAGGTGGCCTTGAGATGAGATCCTGATTTTCTGAAAAATTACTCTAAAACAGTATACTTATATTTTTAGACAGGTAAGTTTACATCATCACATAAGTATTTGTACGTTCACCTTGTTGCTCCTCTCGATTCCAACTCTGCACCACCCCCCTTCCCCCTCTCCCTTCACCACCATGCACCACCCCTCTGCTCCCTCTCCCTTCCCAAGAAGCCCCTCGTTGCTGAAAACGGGGGGGGGCAGGACAAGGGGGCGGGGTTAGGGGACGAAGCCAGGGATATCGTGCAGGGGGGAGGGGAAGGCGTGGTGGGGAGGGCAGGCGGGGAGCAAAGTGGTGCAGGAGAGGCAGATGGGCTGGTGGGGAACGACCTGGTAGCGTCTGTGGAGCGATGGGCACAAAGGGCGGGGCTGTGCGGGGCAGCAGCAGCAGCAGCAGCAGCAGCAGCAGCAGCAGCAGCAGCAGGGCAGCCTTCACAAAGCAAGGAATCGTCACGTGGAGAGGTGCAGAGTGCACTGGTGGAGGGGAAACCCACCAATGGTGAAGAAGCATTCAAGACGCGGCTGCAGGAGGAAATCGATGCCTTGCTGCAGCAAATCCCTCCCGATAAGCAGCAGATTCAGACACGCATGATCAACCATATGGTCTGCTTTCTCTCTTCTCTGCCCCACAAGACACAGCAGAGCAACCCTACAGTGCAGCGGACCGTTCCTGAAACGCAGCAACTCAACGGCAAACCAGCAGCACCGCAGAGAACCGCTGAATTACAGGAAATCACCCTCTCCCACCGAAGCCTCCACTCCTTTCTCTCACTCGCTCCTGCCTGCCGCCCCACCCTCCTCCCTTCTCTCACCTCCCTCACACTCGACCACCCCTCTGTCTCCACCCATGACATGCTCTCCCTCGTCCGCCTCCCCTCCCTCACCTCTCTCTCCTTCCTTCAAACCCCCATCTCCCCAGCCGCCCTGTCCCTCATCCAGCCCTTCTCTCGCCTCCACCGACTCGTCCTCGACTGCCCCGGGCCCTCAACGCTGGCCTTCAAAACGGGGCCCTGGCCGTTGAAGAGCCTGAGGGAGCTGCATGTGAGCCGGGTGACTGACTCAGTCCTGGAGCAGGTGGGCGTGCTCACGAGCCTTGAGGTCCTATCCTGCACGTGCTGTGAGGGGGTGAGCTCTTTGGGCTGGATTTGCCTGGTCGGGTTGAAACGGCTGAGACAGATCCGTGTGACACCGGCGGATCTGGACGGTCATGATTTGAAGATGGACTATCCTAAGAGAGGGTTGCCAGTGGTCTCGCGAGTGTTTAGGAGGCCACAGAAGAAGCAGGAGGGTGTTCTTCGGGAGAGTGTTTTAGAGGGTGTTCACGAGGGTGCGCACTTGGAACACTTGAAGGGATCGCCAGGCCAAGTGGACGATAGTGGCGTGTGGTGTCTGCTACGGGGGCTGCAGCATCTGGAGCACCTGGAGCTTCATGCTCCACCGCGCTACAGAAACGCATTCATCTCACTCGAAAAGTCGTACCTTCTCACCACTCTCCACATCACCGGAGCTTTTCTTGACGATGACGCATTGACGTGGTTGACTCACCTGACTTGGTTGACCCACCTCAGCCTGGCTTGCTGCACGTTCTCAACCGAGACGGAGGTCCATCAATGCTGGAGGGCCCCCGTCAGCGTGGTGAAGAGAATCGCAGACGCCATGCCGAAGCTCAAGTCCCTGGACCTGTCGGGAACTGCAGTCACTAAAGAGGACATTATCGAAGTGCAATATCTGGAGCATTTGGAGCGCTTGACTTTGAAGCAGTGCTGCAATCTGGGCCAGTCGTTTGTGCGGTTCCTCTGGTTTGTGCCTCGGCTCAAGGAGCTGGATCTAAGTTACAACAATATGCCGGCAGCTTGGCTGAGGCACGTTGTGGATGGGAAGCGGGTGAGGAAGCTGAGTGTGAGGGGGTGTGGGTACAAGGGGAAGACCGTGCGCGGGCTTGTGCGGCCTTGGCTTGTGATCGAGGACTGATGTGATGGTTATTGCTGGTACCAACACGTGTGCTGAATGGCATATGGTTTATGGCAAACGCATGGCTTATGGACTATGATGGCAAGTGTGGGCCATGTAGTGTAGGGAAAAAGGAAGGGCATGTGAGAGCATGTGATTGTGTCTGTTTTGTGTCTGAGTGATACATCATGCTAGGTTTACATTTATTTATATGGTGTTTGTTTACCTATGGTGATGGGTGGAGACCTCGTTTGACAAATGAAAATAAAGCATTATAAAAAGGGCATGACGTTTGACTAATGCATAGTGTAGTTGTATTATTATAAAGTCTACTGCCCTCCATATTCCATAGATAACAAGAATTCCAGCAACAGCACTTCGTCCATCAAAAGCATCAAGAGGATGCCTCAGAGACATTTGAGCATACACAAAGGCTCTCAACAGAGAGGATATCACAGGACACATACACTAGTGTCCTGATGGTGTGTTTACTCGTGTGTTGGGTGTATACCCCAGGACACATGCACCTGCACTGACATGCATGGCTCAAGTGTAGACCTGGGAGCAACAGGCTATCAGCCTTTGCTGATGTCCTGTGCTGTCTACAAAATTGCCTGTCTTTCCTAGCAACCCCTAAGCTCCTCTCCTCAAGCAAATGATTCAGGCCTACTGCCACTTCCTCTGCTCCATCAACCCATTGTCCATGGTGAAACTGAAACCCTAACTGCTTATGTGTGGCAAGTGCTGCGCAAGCAAGCCTGGCCTCCCCTGCCACCTGCGAAGCCTTCACTCCCACACAGCCAGTGCACGCCACCGGACAGTCAGTGCGCCACTTTCAGCCGCTTGGCTGCCTGCAAGAAGCCTGCGAGAACCTGAAGCTCGTCCAATTGCTGGCAGAGGGATACGAGGACGAAAGGCACAAAGGACAATCCAGAGAAACAATTGTGAGCGTCAACAGCCATGATGCGTTTCAATAAACATGAAGAAAAGGGGTTGTCATACAGGGAGGGAATGAGTGTGCATGGGCATCGCGAGTCCGTAAGCTCTTTGATACAAGTCATTCGCTACCCATCCGTAAGCTCACAATAAAAACAGTCAACACCTGCAAAGAACAGTTGCCGAACATGTCAAGCAGTGTCAATCCTATCGACCATTTTCGCTCCTACCGAACCAATCTACCACCCCACCAACCACGTACTGTACAGCTTTCACTCCTCACCTGCGACATGAAGTGCCGCCCGACGGCCGACAGGAGCTGCTCCTTGGACGAGTTGGGTCCAACTTCCGCCTGCGGTAACAGAGACGCAGCGGTTTAGAATAAAGCGAAGGTCATGAGACGACGACGATGCGAAACGGAGAAAGAACACTGAGTCATCACCGAATGAGCGAGCTAACCCGCACAGCCAGCGACGTGACCGACGTGGGAAAGGCATAGACAGGTAGGACGCCGTACCCAGGGTGGGCTTAAACGCCTTGACCCCGACCCCGCGACGCACACTGACGGCGTTGACAGTGCCGCACTCAACGAGGAGTGGCTCCCGAGAGACGCGAACGTGGCGTGTTAGATCACACGCGAAGAGACACCGACTTCGATTCTTTTCTACGTCGATTCCAGCCGCCTCTATCCCTTCATAACCTCTCATGCTTGAAACCCTACCAGTTTAAAGTGCCGGCGGTATCTCTTCAGTGCTGACGTGTGAAGTTTGCTCAGATCCACCGACACTAGCGACGGCTGCTGTGTCTGCAGCGAAGCATACAAATAACCAGGCAGAAACGACAGGAAAACGAAGTTGATCATGCTGTGCAACTGACAAGTAGGTCAGATCTGAAGTTCTGCAAGGAGCATGCAGGAAACTTTTCAACAAAAAAAAAAAGATCGTTCGTGGAAACCTGAAGGCATAGAGCAGTCCTTCAATTAAAGAAACGGGAAGAATTAACAAAACCATAGTGAGAGGGGAGACATAAGAAAGATGTACACGGAACAGTCTGCAAACGGGAAACCAACGGACACATTAACTACCAGAGAAGGCCTGGCCATTACCCCTCCGGAGAAGGTGAGATATAAAAGAGGCTTGACAGAGGTGCCGCAACCTATACCAGTCCAACGACGAGGATAACGAAACGGGACAAGGGCATCTAGTAGACGATGGAAATACACGCCATGGGAAGCTAGAGGCTGCAGAGCGCACCGTGTGGCCATCGCGCATGTCAATCGCGACGTTGTCCGACAATTGCGACAACGGCATCGGTGTTGTCGAAACCGTCACTCCCGTCGTCGTCGTCGCTTCTGAAGCTACTACGGGTGCGGCTCCTGCGGCCTGCCGTCTCTTCGCCCTGGCACCGCCGGCGACTGCAGGAGCCATGTTGATAGAAAGAGGTTTAGTCTCTGCTCGAAGTTGTCGTTCAGACGGCTACGCGTCTCGCTGGATCAAGATGAAAAGGCACTGATCCCGAGGACGATCGTTCAGCGTGGCTGCGGTTACCGTGTGCTATCAACCTAGTAAAACGAGCGTAGAAGAGGAGGGCAGCGGGAACTAGAAACTAATAAAAAAGGACTCCTGAAGCAAAGGTATGAAATGGCTTCAAATAGTAGTGGGGGTTGAAAGAAAGAGTGAGGAGGTATAAGATCGAGGAAAGCTGGTAAGGGAACTTGCAGAGGGGAGGCAATTGGGGGAGTGGAGAAGAGCTGGCCGCATGGCATGCAATGCAACACAAGCCTGGCTAGTTGGCCTGGTTTACCTGGTTCGGTTCGTGTTTGGCCTTGCAAAACCGTAATCAGGCAAACCGGGCCTGTTTTGCGGGCTGGTTCGCCTCGTTTGGTCTTTCGCTTTAGACATACCGAGCCGAAACCTAAGGCTCAAGGCTGCTTTGGTGGTTGGGAGGTCGCGGAGGTTGAGGGAGGCGAACGGAGCCTGCTGCTTCTGCTGCTGGTATGGTGTGGTGCGGTTGTACAGTACAGTACAGTGTACGTGTTGCTGTTGCAGCCAGTTTGAACTGTAGCTGATGGAGGATGACGGCTTTCTGACAGATAATTTTGGAGTCAACTCGTGACGGGGATATCGCGTGCCCGTCGTAGAGCCTCGACTTCTCATCGCTGGACATCTGCGGCCAGTCAGGGGAGGGGATGAAGGTTCAGCAGAAAGGTGGCTGTTCGCCTCCACCCCACTGACGGACTCCGGCTGACTCTGACGTTAACGAACCGCGATTGACAGAACGGAACAGATGGCAGGCCAGCAGCACGCAGTGTGCGGCAGTTTGTGCAGTTCCGTCCTTGGCGAACATCTCGTCAAGGCGACCTCGTTACGAGACATCCGAGGAAGAGACCTCCTTCACACCAGCACGGCCAAACCAAATGGGTCTGGGGTGTTGCCGAAATGTTCCCTGCATTTACAGACGGTACAATGCGGTATTTATTGTAGCGCCACGGATCCACATGCCCAATCATCAAGCGTACGTAGGGGCTTTCTGCGCCTTGTTTCCTGATACTACACGACTCTGAAGCCTCGAAGTGTCCGCCATATCCCTTCACACATGCTGCGCCTGTCAACTCGTATGTTTGACGTGACAGCTGCAACAATTCCAGGATGATCGTCACATCAGCAAGCTGATCCGATGGACCTTTCGCTATAGACCTGTACACCAGTTGCACCGGCAACCCGCAAGCGTTATCATTTTGATTTACATTAGATATGTACAGTGACTAATTATCTTCCGTAGCTGCCCTGTCACAAAGCCAATAGATCAATAAAGCATCATACTGCACCAATGACAGCCAACAAAACACAATTCAACGACCATATCCGAAGCCAGAATTGTATCGTGCTTCTTTTCTTCGCTGTCCTGTTTCAGGCCCATGCATCACAATACCCCCGAACAACCCATTTCCTTCAACCCCACCTCCCAGCTCAATCACCCCAGACGTGTTCCCTGCTGCTCCAGAACCTACAACCCCTCCCAATCCTCTCCTTCCTGTTGTCTGGTGGTGCTGGAGCAACAGCATCTGCGCTCGTTCCCTCTCCCTTGCCTCCCTTGCCACCCTTTCCGCTCTTAAAGCCTCTATGCTCTTCTTCCCATGCTCCGCAGCAGCACCCTTCAAGTCACACCTCATCCCTTCTTCTGTAGCTCCGCCCTCCTTCCGCTTCCTTCTCTCTGTCCCTTTTTCATTTCTGGCCTTCCTCCCCCTTGTTGCTCCTAGCCCCCTGCGTGTCTCCCTCCCCTGCCTCTCCCTCACGACATGCTCCTTGCGTTGACGCTGAACACCCCTCTCCATGGATCTATCCCTGCCGCTGCGCCTGTGCCTGCTCCCCTGCCTTCTCCCCACTCGACGATCACTGTCACTGTCCGAGGAGGAGGAAGATGGACTCTCGGAGGGAGAGCGATCAGCGGAGGAAAATCGCTTTTTGACGTGATGCTTCTTAAGGTGCTTGCTGGAACGGCGGTGGTGGTGCCGGTTATCATCATCGTCGCTGCTTGCAAGGGATGAAGAGGAAGAGGAGTCTGGCGAGTCAGACCGCCGCCTGCTCCTCTGCTTCTTTCTCGCTCCAAGATCACTGTCGCTGTCCGAGGAGGAAGAAGGACTCTCAGGGGAAGACCGATCAGCGGAGGAAATTTTCGCTTTGACGCGCTGCCGCTTACGGTGTTTCCTTGAACTGCGGTGGCGGCGGCGGTGGTTATCATCGTCATCGTCGCTGCTTGCAAGTGAAGTGGAGGAGGAAGAGTCTTGCGAAGCAGACCGCCTCTTTCGGTGCTTCCGCTTCTTCTTGTGCCTCGGACTAGACATGTCCTCATCGTCATCACCATTGTCGTCTCTAACTTCGTCTTTTGCAGGGTGAATTTCTGTTGGGCGAATGACACGCAAATCCAGGGGAGGAAAAAGATGAGGCAGAGCCAAAGCAGCCAAATAATCTCTGGAAAATTTCACGAAAAGGGGAGGAGTAACAACCGAATCACAAAATATCGAGTAAAACTGAAAGAATAGGGTGTTACAGGCAGGATGAGCATACCTTTCCCAGGTCCAACAT